CCACGCCAATGCTCAGGACCACTTGGTTTACCATCATAGTGATAAAAAACTGCGCGGAAAGGCAGCTCATTTCCGTGAAGCTGACATATGAAATAATGGAGCGGGTGACCAAGTAACATTTCAAGATGATGAATGACTCCATTTTCTGATCCTACATTTACATTGGTTCCATCACAACCAACACACACAATGGGCTGCTGGGTTAGATTTTTCTCCACCAGAAACTCGTGAATAGTTTTGGCAATCTGCTTTCCGTGTCCAGTCTTGGGAGTCACATGTGTGAGATATTCATTGCCAGGCTCAACCATGATGACATAATGATCTTTCACCATCATCCTCGAACTCCATTTCTCGGTCTTCTCATTCTTTATCATCACACGAGTGGCGGTCTTCTTACCACCAAAATAGAGTGACGTCAAATTATCTAAACTAGCCATCTCAATTTTTTCCTCTTAAATCGGTATTTTTGTCTCTCATCCCGCAGCTTATGTGGTCCAATAACCTGACTCTTGTCATCCTTTGTGATAATGCCATAGTCAGTTAAGGTGGCAGTAGCAATGGCAGCTCCAGCATAATCACTAATCAAGTATCGGTCACAAGCAGCAGCCAGTGTAGGGAGTCTTGTCCGGTTCTGTGAACTGGTGGCTGATAATCAATATAGACATAGCACCATACTCATCTGCAACAAGACAACTTAAATGAAATAAGAGATATGAAAAAAAAGTTGATAAACACTGAACAGAACATTGCACCGCCACAGCGGCTGTTTGGCTAGTACTGTAGGTAAATTTAAAAATTTCAGTAGAAAATGCGGCAGACTAAACCTCGACATATCAGCTTCAAATTTGGCATGGAGTCTTAGATATGTATAAGGAACAATGCCTGAAGAGTGCAGCTTTGAGCAAAATTTCACTGCCCCCTAATACACATTACTGTTCACTGTCCTTATTTAGTACTGTGTGGGATACTTCAAGATGCTTGTCTGCACCTCAACATCTTCTATTTTTAAGAAAATAAACAATAGTTAAAAACTCCTGTTTTTTTTTTCTCCATAAATCAATGTAGTGGATATAGAATAATTTGTATCTTCCCAAATCCACAAATAGAGCGAGAAATTTCAAGATGCAGAAAAATATATCAGTTCACGTCAGTTGATGCACGGCAGTGAAAAGGAGAACACACACACCTGTACAGTACAGTACAGCTCCTCCCCGACTTACGACCTACTCGACTTACGACCACCCGCACTTACGACCTGCCTCAGTTGTACCAAAATTTTGTCAAATTAAGTATTTTCGAGTCCCAACGTCAGTGATTGCGCTGTGTACTGACAGAATTTTTGTTTGTAATTAATTTTAAAGTGGCTGGCAAACTTAAAAGTGAGAGTTTTGTGGTACTGGGAAGAAAAAGAGATACCGTATATCTCAGCCTATAAGGCGTCGGGGTGCATAAGACGGCCCCCCCAAATTTCCATTTAAAAAGTAGTTTTTGAGCTCTATTCGCTGTATAAGACCAGTACCCCAAATGTGACACTTACCCACTGACTCAGTAGTTCTCTACCAACCATCCTTGGTTTTTTAAAATAAGGCCAATTCACTTCAAGTAATGTCATCAAATGTTACCCGCTGGTGTAGTGTAAACACTAGTGACATCACTGAAGCGTCTGCTATTTACCGGTAACTGGAACTAATGTCGGTGTCGAGTAAAATTTTTCCATTTACTTGAAATGGATTTACCGATTTATTTGTTTATTTATTTATTTATAATATACTGTAACATATTAAACACACTGCAAGTATTTTCTTTAATTTATATGCTTGCTTCACACGAGACGATCGGTGGTGGGAGTGTTACCTCGTCTCGGTGGTGGGACTGTGTTCCCACTGTTTACCTTACTTTTTTTTTAGTAAGTTCTTTTTTGTTATATTTTTTACTAAAAGTGTTATTTTATGTGGATAAAAATGTTACAATGGACTTAAAACTATAAAAAATCATCTGAGCATGCTTGAAAACATACATATCGACACCAAGATCACCCAGATTGACCAACTACATCAATTTCTATAAGAAAAATCAACTTTTGAAGGTCAATATGGCGGTCATCTTGAAAAATGGTCGCCATCTTGGATTTTTAAATGGCCAATCAGGCAGACTTGACTAGTAACCATTAGAGAATTACCATGCCAAATTTGGTGCTTGTACCACCATTTTCATGATTCTCTTGAAAAATTGCATTTAGCTGCCCCACTAATGTCACCACTCCCATCTCAACATGACACTCGTATACTGAAATATTGTATTTCATACTACATATGACTTTACAAAAAGAAATGTCCACGTCTGGTTAAATAACTCTTGTTAAAGGCATTTTGTTTTCTTTATAAACACTTTATTATACAGTACAGCGAAATAATATACATGTAGATATAATACCAGTTGAATAAACGAAACTAAAAAACTGGAGATTGTAATTACAGTGAAGCCTTGACAACTCCATTATGAAGTTAGGGATTAGATGACGCCAAATTCAATCACCTTAATGCACTTTAAGAGAGAGGAGTCACCGTGCCAGGGCTTAATATTATCCTGGACCCTAGAGGTTGATGACGTATTCAGTGTCAGGGGCAGAAATACATCGATGTACACAGCACCTGATCCCAATCAACTCCAGTATAGGTGTTAATAATGTAGAGGTGACCAGGTGTGTTGCACGTTGGTAGTGTTGGATGGTGATGCAGGAAAGAGGTAGTGTGTTGAGGGTGGTGTGTGGTTATGACTCACTCCCACAACCCCCCCACACCACTCACACATCCTCACAACTGTACCACAAAACCCCCACACTACTCTTACAGCATCCTCACAACACTACCACAACCACCCCACACCACTCACACATCCTCACAATTGTACCACAAAGCCCCCACACTACTCATACAACATCCTCACAACACTACCACAACCCCCCACACCAATTACACATCCTCACAACACTACCACAACCCCCCACACCAATTACACATCCTCACAACACTACCACAACCCCCCACACCACTCACACATCCTCACAACACTACCACAACCTCCCACACCACATACACATCCTCACAACACACCACAACCTCCCACACCACTTACACATCCTCCAAACATCACCACAATCCCCCACACACCACTCACATCCTCCATCACTCCACAACACTACCACAATCCCCCACACCACTCACACATCCTCACAACACTACCACAATCCCCCACACCACTCACACATCCTCACAACACTACCACAATCCTCACGCACCACTCGCACATCCTCACAACACTACCACAATCCCCCACACCACTCACACATCCTCACAACACTACCACAACCTCCCACACCACTCGCACATCCTCACAACACTACCACAATCCCCCACACCACTCACACATCCTCACAACACTACCATAATAAAATTAATCATTTCTAGTGTGGTCGACTTCCTACACAAAGACAGGCTATAAATAGCCATCTTATCTCAACCTCCTTCCTTCCCCCTCCATCCCTCTGTTCTCAGAGAGGTCTTGGTAAATAACTTTTGTTTGTTTATTTTCATTGTTTGTCTAATGTATCATGTTGTATCAAAGTAATATTACTAAAAGTTTTAGGCAGCTACCAAACAGGGTGATACTACTGCCTGGGAAGATATTGGAAGCATAATGTACAGTATTGTCTAATGGTAGACCCTGCTGCCATATGGCATCACGAAAATTGTGACCAAGTCTTAGGTTGCTGATCTATCTTTCTGCCTCATTTACACACAATTGCAGAGTTTCAATTGTTTCTCTTCCTTTGACAACACAACATACATACATACAATATAATGTTTCTCACCTTTGATATTTTTTCCATTTATTTATGGTTGGTTATTTAAAATAATGCCAATTCACTTCAAGTATTGGCATCAAATTTTACCGGCTGGTGTACACTAGTGACTCACTTAAGCATCAATTATTTAACTGGAACTAATGTTGGTGTGAGTAAAATATTTCCATTTACTTGAAATAGATTTGCCAATTTATTTGTTTATTTATTTATTTATAATATACTGTAATACATTAAACACACTGCAAGTATTTTCTTTAATTTATATACCATTATACCTGGTAGGTGAAGTTGACCAGAAATTTATGGTGATCATTAAGGACCAAACTCGAATCCATGACGTGACTTCTGTTCATCATTCTCATCCTAAATTTACCACTGTCGGTAGTTTCAAGAATTAACTCAGTCAGTTACTGAATATTCTTTGTAAAAAAATACAATTTAAATTAATTATTTATAGGAGATAAGTATTATGATCAGTAAATATACAGATATGCATTACTGACCACCTCCGAACACAAGGACGGCTAAAGATAGCCACAGGCGGTCACAGTCAAGGTCACTTTCCCTTTCTTGTCACTGGCAAATGGGGTATATTGTTGTTTTACGGTATGTTAGACAGGTTTATAATACATTTTTATTACGTATTTTAATATACCGGTAATCTTCACTTTAATCCAGCTTCCCAAACGTAAGTATCAGTATAAAATAATTAGTGGTAGGACCTTGTCAGTGGTTTACCATGTTTCCATCACCACTCTTGACACGCTAAACCGCAATATTTAAGAGGTAAGAATTTTATCTCTGGTGCTTAAGACGACCCCCTAACTTTGGGCTGATTTTTTTTTGTTCAAATTCCGTCTTGTAGGCCGAGATATACGGTACCCATTTTAGATTTTATATGTATTATTTAAGCATTTTCGACTTACGACCATTTCGACTTTAGACCTTGATTTGGGTCCCTAACCCCGTCATAAGTCGGGGAGGAGCTGTATATCATTGTCTGTGTTCATTGGTGGTTAACTTTCATATTTATTAATGTAATATAAGTACAGTACTGTACATGTACTGTATATACTGTACTGTACAGCTCAAAACTTATTGAGTACTCTGTTTAATATTACTGTTTGTTTTCCAGTAAGGAAGATTAAAGACAGATCATGGCAGAAGATTTAGAAGGGTGGGGGGCCACAGATGCACCGATGGATGGATATGCATCAGAGGGAGAACTGGATACTCGTAAGCTTATTGCAGCCAAGAACCGGAAAAAGAAGAAGTCTGGAGGTTTTCAGGTAAGTGGAGATTACGTTAAATTTTAAAGCTATGATTTCATTTGATATTTTATGGATTTTGCCATATGAATCTTTATCAGTAGAAAATTTAATCAAATATGAATTGTTGGGATGTGCAGCTGCAGTGCTAATACAGTAATTTAATACAGTGCGTACAGTATATTAAAGAAGAAATTTTTTTTTTTACAGTATTTTCCTCCTGTAGCTATCTATAGTTTTCTTAAAGTAATATATAGTACCAGTAGATGTGAGGAGTAAATAAGAATAATACTGTACTAATAAATAAGTTAAAACAAAATATACTGTGTTGCCATTTGGTTGCTGGACAACGAAATTTGTCAATAGAGTAGCTTCACTCACTACACACGGGAAACACCTCAGAACGGCTGAGATCCCTCACTCCCCGCTACTCTTAACACACTTATAAAGTTTATTCCCTTTATGATTTTGATCTTATGATAACTATTTATCTTATGTATATATTTTGTACATTCTGTATATAAGATTGAGTGTGCATGTAAAATAGAAAAAAAAAAAAATAATGTGTATCTCCAGGTCAAGTGTTGGTTTTGCCTCCACTGCCTTCCGCAATCTGTAACTGACACTTGTGTTGTTAACGAGACTATGTCCCCACATTACACTCAGCATCCAGGCCTCCAATGACCTTTTAGCTTCAGAGTAAGGGAGGTTGCATGTCTTCTTTGTCTTCTGTTCAGATATGCCTCATGCAGTTCCCTAGTGCTGCTCCATGGATTCTCCCTGAAGTTTAAGTTTGTCAATATTTTAACAGAAGGAAGGACTTTCCCTGTGTGGTTCATTCTCTTTTTAAGAGCATGCCTCCTCTCACAGAGGGACTATCCCTGTTTACTTCCGATAGCTCCAAATTGGATGCAGGGGTGGATTTTGGGGTAGTCTTTCCTGATTTCTGTTGGGATGGTAGTCTCCTCACTATGGCATCTATTTTTACGGCAGAGCTATTGGGTATTTTACTTGCCCTCAAGATTATTTATACCCAACCTTGTAGCGATTTTAAATTTTTTAGTGATTCTCACAATGTTCTCAAGGCCTTAGCTAGTGTCTCATCGTCCCATCCCTTGGTTATAGATATTTTATTGTGGGTGTTTCTCATCCAACGTCAGGGCCGGAAGGTCAGCTTTTGCTGGTTTCTGGCCCATGTGGCGAAAGCAGCTGCTTCTCGCCCTGTGGCACATCATTCCCCTCTACCCACCTCTTAAATGGAGCCAGTAATAAGAGTTGCCATCCTCTCAAATTGACAATGTAGGTGGTATGCTGTTGGAACAAACAAGCTCTGCAACATCCACTCTGCATTAGATGCCTGGGGATATCAGGGACTGTCACACCGATGGGAGACTGCTTTGGCCTGCCTGGCTGCATTAACTGTTCGACACCTGGTGGAGTGCCCCAGTCTCAGAGATCTTCGCCATAAGCACCTCTCCCAGTGCTGGGGAGGGGGAGACAGGTCCTACCGTCTCTCTTTGGTGCTGGGGGGGAGGGGGGGGGGTTGGGAGGGGACGTCCTCTCCTTCATGGAGGAAACCGACTTGCTACGCAAGCTTCAAGTTTTATCTATTAATGTTAAACTATTGCATTGCCAGGGATCTACAGTAATACAAAAAATCAATCAATCAATCAATGTATAATATTTTGATAATAGTCTATCTTTTCCAGTCAATGGGTCTCAGCAACCCAGTGTTCCGGGGAGTGATGAAAAAAGGATACAAGGTGCCAACCCCTATCCAGCGTAAGGTCAGTGTGAAGTGCTTTTTGTCACAAATAATGCAATTTACAGTATTGTAGGTGTCAGACTCACTGGAGTAAGGGTAAGGAAACTTTATAAGCACTGTGCATTAGTTCATCTTCCTTTAACATGTACAGTCACCCACAAAAGTCCTGTCGCCTCTCCTCCAGAACCACAAACTCTGAGATTAAGACCCGTGAATCCAAAGCATTTTTGGACAAAATAATGCCTCAAAGTCCACTGCTTCAGTTTCACAAGGGTTCACGGAACAGCAGGAGAGGTGACAGGACTTTTGTGGGTGACTTTACTGTATGGTACTGGTATTTTAGGCACATTCTTACAGGCACTCAAAACAGCTTATACAGTAGAACGACGATTTAAAGCGATTCAATTTAAGGTTATTGATTTAAAGCGACACCCACAATTAAGGACAATGTTTTAATTTAAAGCGAATCTTTCCTATTTTGCGCGAGTCAATCTGGCCCATCATATTTTAAAATTCGCGCCTAATGTTTCTCTGGGCACGCTACACTGTCCTAAAGGCAAAGCTGTACTATACATGTACAGTTAACCCTCACTTTACGCGGTCCCACATTCCGCGTTTCCACGTTTACGCGGTGCCCTGCCGGAACCCAGGATGCTCACATTCCCGCGGTCGTGTGCCCTTTACGTGACGGCTGGCGAGCAGCATTTGGATCCAAACCTCCGCCATCCGCCATGTTGTGGTAATAGTGGCGAACACACAAAATCGCCCAGTCATCAAAAACTACCAGTTCTTCCGGCCCAAGTCAGTGATAGTGATAATTATGGTGAGGATATGGACTTATATGGACTTTGGGGAGTTTGACAAAGAGGCCCTGCAAGCCTCTGTGGTGGATAGTGATACAATTGATACAAGTGACACAGGTGAGGGCCAATAATCTGCCCTCTGCCTCGGAACCAACCGCCCATCCCCGTGTGCCCAGCCATTTTTTCTACTAATGTAAGTGTTAAAAAACCTAATATTATTGATATTTCTCTTAATTATTAATTGTGTGTGCATACCATCATAAAGTTAAGATAATATTTTTACGACAACATAGTTGTGTGTCGTCAAAAAGTGGAGTTTGGGGATCGGCCCGGACTCCATTTCAATTAATCCCATATGTTATGTTATTCACTTTACGCGTTTCTCACTTTACGCGGGACCCTCCGGGTTACATTAACCGCGTAAAGTGAGGGTTAACTGTACTCAAAATAATGTACTGAATGATTACAAAATTTTTTGTCTAGTACAAAGTATAGCATGAGTATATTCAAATTAATCACTATCGTATAAGAATTCCAGCAATGTAAATTATATTCTCCCCAGTCACTTCTGTGACATTTTATGAACAAAAACTCACTCAAAAGAACATAAATAAACAAATAATTACTTCACTAGACCTTCGGCCCCAACTGTCAAATGTGTCACTGTCACTTCCCCCCTACCCCCCATCCCAGTCAGGGTTTGGTGGTTATAGGCTTACAGTTTTTATCTTATATAATATGACAGACTAAAGTTAGGAGAACATAATTTGCATTGCTAGAATCCTTGCAAGACAGCGAATAATTTAAATATAAACGTCATATATTTCCACAAGAGCTAAAAGTTTTAGCCCTTTGTAATAAAATTAATTAGAACTAAAATTTGTCTGTCTAATGCGAACTATAGCATGTATATATTCAAACTAATCACTATCTTCTAAGAATTCCAGCAGTGTTAATTATATTCTCCCACGTCAGTTCAGTGACATTTTATAAGATAAAAACTTAAAGTCACTCTTAAGGTCAGATTAATAAATGAGCACTAGACCTTGTCATCAACTGTCAAACATATCACCTCACCTATTTCCCCCCCCCCCCCAATCTTCCCATCAGCTGATGGCTAGTGAACAGACCATTTCACATCCCATAATTTTAGCTGTGTTGGTTTATGAGTGTTTGTTTTAACATAATACTACAAAAAACAATGTTTTGTTTATTCTAGGAGATTGGCTGAGGTGCATCTGGGTAGACTCTCAGTCTTTTTAGTATTTTGTGTTTCTATCAAGTACCAAACTAAATTATTCCATTAAAACAACACCTCGATTTAGTGCGTATTCGGTTTGAAGCGACCTCTCTTGCAACTCTCTTGGAACGTATCTCGTGTTGTATCGACGTTCTACTGTAATAGCTTTAAGGAGGTATAGAGTATTTGTCAAGTTTTGCTATATGTTTTAATGCTGTAGCTATGCTAGAAAATAATATCCACTTGAAGAGATTTTTGCCAGTCTCAGTGCCCCATGGATCTTTATCTCTATCCATTACATGAGATTTTAATTGCACTACAGTTTAACAAATTCAACTGAAACTCTTGCCTTTGTAGACTCTTTAGTGGCTGAATGATGGATCTTGTATGGCACTAAGAAGTACCTGTGTTTAATTATCTTTACAACTGAGTTCATTACTTCTTCCTTGGGTATTTTAAGTTGGATTTTGGATGCTGGACCTCTTCTATCCCTTTCTTAGATGGTTTGGATTGTTCCATGTTACTGAACCCCTTCACCTTGTGGATGCCACTGTTAATATTTTATTTGGCTAATGCCAGACAATTTTATGCAGCTCAGAGGGAACCTGTACACAAGGGGTTAACAATTGACCCTCAGGCCATAAAATAATTGATTAAAGTATGAGATCTGGAATTCCTCTCCTCTCCCTTGGCTGGTATCTTTATCAACATCAAAAAGTGAAGTTATTTGTATGAGTGTTAGATTTGTGGCTTGAGGGAATCAAAGCAAACAAACTACATCAGGGTTCTTGGCACTGTATATGTCAATTTATTGGTTTTCAAAGCAACTACTGAGTGTTTCCCAAACTACTGGGCACTTTTGGGGGTCACTGCTTTTTTATCGGAGAGCCTAAAAATAGTTTGGTAGACTTTTTTTAAAACTGAGCCATTGAATACTGTAGGTCAGTGCAAGGTCCCCAAATCTACACTATTCTGACCTGTAAAGTCAAAGTGAATGCATGTATGAGAAAATTACAGTTATGGAAGAGAAATTTAGAAGATAGTTTCTGACAGGTTTGCTCCAGAATATTTTATTTAGAGTAATGAAATGGAAGCCAACAATGAAACTTTTATTTTATTTATTTTTTCTCAAAACTTGAATGGATAGGAAAAATGCATTTACTAAAAATAATGTCTTTGAGTTAACAAATTTTGAACAAAAGCCACTTATCAAGTGATGGTTTGTTTCAACTTTCATATGATCTAGAAAATCTAAGTTTTTCTTGCTTGTCGAAAAGGAATATCCTATCTTATTAGACAAGGCCATGAAACTACTACAGGTTGTACCTTTCTAGTCCGGCATTCTGTGGTCCGGAAACTCCCGTGGTCCGGAACGATTTTAGTTTGTCCAATAGGTAGATAGGCATTTTTTTTTTTTTTTTTTTTTTTTTTTTTTTTTTTTTTTTTTTTTTTTTTTTTTACTTATCTGAATTATTATTATTATTACAGGAGTATTAAATTTATGCCCCTCAGGCCCCAATGTGGGTCAGTGACCTATGCCCAGGTGGGCTAATCCCCTTAAAAAAAAGCCGCGGGAAATTAAGGTTTGTTTACATCCGGCAGTTCGGCTGCTCTCTCTCTCTCTCTGCTTGTCTATACAGAGTACAACATTTAACCCTTCAATATATATGAGCAGTAAATAAGTGTTGCTTTCATATTCTTATGTAGAGTAATGACGATATATTTTCACATGTGCGCACTTACATACGAGCAGTCTCACTTTTTTTTTACCATTAATGGTTAGCTACTTATATTGTTCCATTTATTAACATTAAATAACATTACAGGTACTTCAAGCAACCATATTCATTTTTTACATTAATTTTACTACAGCTAAACTCAGGGTCTTATTTTCTTCAGTTTTATATGTAGAACCAATCAGTCACTGGTTTCGTAAGCTTTAACATAAACAATGCCGGCAGCCGTCTCGTCTCCTCTAATATTCCACGTATTATTAATAAATTGTATTGTTAATTTTGCACACACGTACATTGATTCAATAAAAACAAATTCAGAAACATTATTTAAAATATATATGAACAGTAAATATGTGTTGCTTTCATATTCTTATGTAAAGTAATGACGATATGTTTTCACGTGTGCGCATGCGCACTTACATATGTGATCTCTCTTTTTCTTTACCATTATCGTTAGCTACTTCTATTGTTCCATTTATTAACATTAAATAACATTACTTAAAATAACCATATTAATTTTACTACAGCTACAACCAAGGTCTTATTTTTTTCAGTTTTATATGTAGAACCAGTCAGTCACTGGTTTTGTAATCAACGAAAACAATGCTGTGTCATTTCCTCGTGTGTTTTAATATTCTACGTATTATTAATGAATTGTATTGCTCATTTTGCACACACAAACATTTATTCAATAAAAAAGACATTCAGTAATAAACAATAATGAATCTTTTGTACATAAGAGAAATGACGCTGTTTACACGATTATGCACGTCGTCTGCACGTTGGCGGGCCGTTCAAACCCGTCGAAATTCAAGTTTCTGCCGTTAAAATTTTTATTTATTTATTTTTTTGTGTGTTCCAATAAAATACGTTAAGAATTAAAAACTCGCGAAATTTGAGAAGCTACTATACGACATTTAACCCTTCAATATGTCTTCAAAGAGACCATGACGCAGAGAAAGTGGTGCTAGTGCTTCCAGGCATAAGCACAAGTCACTATCTATCCAGGAAAAGGGTGAATTTCCATGGTCCGGCAATTTCCATGGTCCGGCACAGGTCAGGTCCCGAGGTTGCCGGACTAGAGAGGTACAACCTGTATACTCTTTGTGACATCATACTTGTGAGAAATGAGGTTTTATGCTGTTGATGTCATGAAGGCAACTAAGTGTTCTTGGGAGGTAATAGAAAAAGAATTGGGAGTTGCTATTTCATCAGTGACTGTGATTTGATAATTTTTTTGCTGAAAAGCAGCCTCGCACATCACACTAATAAAAGTAGGTGATTGATTTTGCAATATTGTTTTAAATAAATAAAAATTCCAATTTAATGTTGTTTTTTTGTTGATATTGTATTTTACTTTAAAAATATATTTAAACCAGGTAAAGAAATTGTTGACTTGGCTGTTATTAATTTTGAAAAATATTTGTACAGTACAGTATAGTCTGCATTTACGCGGTCAATTGAACCCGTGGAGGCTCGCGTAAAACGAGAAACCCGCTTAAATGAAATAACAGAACGTATGGGATTAATTGAAATAGAGATTGGGTCGACACAATACGTACGTTGTAGTAAAAATAACATCTTAATTTTATGATGGTATGCACACATAATTAAGAGAAATATCAATAATATTAGGTTTTTTAACACTTACGTTAGTAGAAAAGCTGGGTGGGCATACGTGGATGGCGGCTGGTTCCGAGACAGAGGGCAGATTAGTTGCCCTCCGGTGAATCACTTTCACTACTCGCAGAGGTTTGCAGGGCCTCCCTGACAAACCCCTCAAAGTCCTTATCCTCACTGTCACTACCACTGACTTGGGCTGGCTGTGGTGGGTTGCGGGCGAAGAAGTCCTTAATATTACGTTGACGACTAGCATTGATGTTGTCGAGATAGCTCTGGATATACGGCTCCATAACTTTCGTCAGATGGTTATTAGACACTTCATACCGATGCTTGTCTGGGTCATTGTCAAGGATGAGCTTAATTTTCTCCCCCAACTCGATGATTTCCTTCACATTATCATGGCTTGGTCCAGGTAATTCAAGGTTTTTCTCGGGTGGTGGGGGTCCCGCGGAGGCCATTGTGAGGGGAATAGTGGGCACAAGAGAGAACTGTATACGCGGACTGAGAACAATGAGACAGGCCAAGCTAGGTCAGCGACTTCTACCCTCTGGTGGCAGGGCACGTCATGTTACATTAGACCAATCACAGCTAGCGGTGGAGGGAATGCGTGGGTGGTAAGTATGCGTGGCCCAATCACAGTCCGATACGTCATATGACGTCAGCGATAATGTAAGAGTGGCCTAATGCGCACCACTCACTGCGCCGCTTCCCGCGTATGGTCTAGAATGGATGGCTTGGGTAAAAAATGGCGCGGCGGTCTGGACCTCTCCAGCCGTTCGCCACGTAAATGACCAAATTTACTACGTAATTAAAGCATTTTCATTCTGGCAAGGCACCCCGTAAATGACCAAACGCGTAAACAAAAACCGCGTAAATCCAGACTATACTGTAATGTGAAGGGCAGGTGGCAACAGAAACTTTGCTAAGCTGCCATTATTTAAAGTTTGGAAAAACTGAACTACTGTACTGTATCAGGGTTGATGACTGTGTTATGTCCCTGGTCTGAGTGGTCAGGTGAATGCTTATAACTATTGTACTGATCCATTAGAGGTGTGTACCTGTGTCACTCAAGAACTCAACAGCATCCTGGACAAGCCAATGTCTCTCAGACTATATTCTGGTGATTGATCTTGCAGATTATTTTATTCTTTCCCAGCTCTTTGTTTTTAATGCAGATGAAATTGTCTTTTATAATATCTTATGAAAATTAATATCATTCAGCATTTATTACTTATATTGTATTTGTTCACATAACTGTTTACTATTTTTAGTGCAAAGTTTCTTTATAAAACTTAACAAATGCCTTGCTCTTACCACTCAATAGGTTTTATATGTACAGTACAGCATCTAAATTTGTATAAAAAAATTGTATACAGTATTCATGTTTACTGATAATTTTTAGTTCATAATCATTATTTATTTCCAGTTATTAGTGTCACTCAATTTTTTATTTATTTTTTTCCATCAGACTGTTCCCTTAATTTTAGAGGGTAAGGACGTAGTGGCAATGGCAAGAACAGGTAGTGGAAAGACTGCCTGTTTTCTAATACCCTTGTTTGAGAAGTTACAAAGCCACTCTGCCCAAACAGGTGCACGTGCTCTGATTCTCTCACCCACACGTGAATTGGCCCTACAGGTATGTTTTCTTTTAAGTTTAGTATTAATGTCTGTATCTAATACACTATGCTGTTTCTTTCTGCTAAAGAGATTCTTCTCTGTCCTCTATTCTCATATTGCAATTTTTATAATGCTGATTAGAAATGAGTTAAGTGCGAGTTAAGTTGGAGAGAGCACAGATTTGTGTAGGAACATATAAATACTTGTATGAAGGTTTCAGTTAAGGTTGGACCTCGCTAATCTGGGAAGCTTGAGACCAGACCGGTTCCAGAGAAGTGAAAATTCCAAACCATTGAAGCCAAGGTTTAAAAAAAGGCAAAATAGTGCATAAAATGTACTATTACTGGTACCAATACAACATACATCAGCATAAATCTAGCCCACTCTTACCGGACCTCTTTATAACAAAATGTTAGTGCTATGGCACATGTTTACTGTACACTGGAAGTCCTATGGCACATGTTTACTGTACACTGGAAGTGCTATGGCACATGTTTACTGTACACTGGAAGTGCTATGGCACATGTTTACTGTACACTGTACCCTCGCTTTATGCACATTCACTATATGGGAATTCACATACAGTGGTCCCTCGGTTAACGAACTCAATTCGTTCCTCAGAGTCGTTCGTTAACCGAAAATTTCATTAACTGAATCTGTTATTTCAGTGGGAGATTGGGTACCGTAATTGGTTCCAACTCAGAAAAAGTACATACAAAGTACTGTATACCAGTAATAGAATTAACAAAACATTAAATATAAATTAAATACAGTACTTTACTGTACAGTATACTGTATAATAATAAATAAAAAACAATAGAATTCTATATTTTAACTTACTCTGAGGTGTGTATGCCATATTCTCGGCAGCTTTGTTTACATATCAAACGGCCGATTGTAAAGGCAGTCGATGATGACATGCCATATTCTTTACAGAGTGCATTAGTTCTAATGCCTTCTTCATGTTTCATAATAATTTCTGCACTTTATATTATCAATATGTGAACTAAATTTCAGAATGACCAATAATTTGAATGTAAAAATGCAAAAATATTCAAGAGACCAACAAACTGGATGTTCACTCCACTGTAAACAAAGTTAAACTGAGAAGTGTTGATGATTGATTCGATCAGCTGATTGGCACACAAGAAATGTTCCCTGTACTGTATATATTATCAATATGTTAACTAAATTAGAATGATCAATAATTTTAATATAAAATATGCAAAAATATTCTAGAGCACAACTTTCTTGATATTTACTCCACTGGAAACGAATGTAAGCATAGAACCAATTACTGTATTGGCAGACTATTCAATCAGCTGATGCGCAGAACAAAGCGCGTTTCTCGTAAGGCTTTCGTTAATCAAAGTTTTGTTCGTTAATTTTATTGAAAATCCTTATGGGAGCTAATTCGTTAACCGAAATTTTGTTAATTGGACCGTTCATTAATTGAGGGACCAGTTTATATGTGCAGAACTAAACAAAGATTTATTTGAAATACACTCTAACATTCAATGCCATAATATCCTGACCACTGGAGTTAGCTATACAGACTTTTCCCTGTGGAAAAGCCATAGTTTTGAGCTACATATTACTGCTCAGGGAATAGCCCATCCGGGCACAGGTCATCGACCCACAACGGGCCTAGGAGCGAAAAAAATTAAGAGTAAAAAACTTAGAAATAGAAAAGAAAAAGACAGTATTAATCTACACCACAAAGACAATGGAAAACCAGCTTTTTGAAGTGAGACATTGTAAAGGTATAGAAACACAGAAGAAGGCAGAGCATTTCACAGTTTGGCTGTGTGAGGAAAGAAGGATGTACAGTACTATTGTACTGCCCATTCTGGGGGTCACTAATCCGACCCCCTGGACAGTATGTAGCTTGTTAGGTAGCTGGCAGAGCAAGCCAGGCATGGGTGTATGTTTGCATTCATCAAACCAAAGGTGGGAGTAAGGGTAAGGGTGAAACATCATTCATGACTTAACTAATTTATTTCCTTATAAAAAATAGTGTATTCAGTTACAATACAAAAATTAGTTGACTTTCCTCAAAATATCTACAATTAGGTTCATTACACTTCATACTAGTACACGACCTTCTCCAAATTAAATAATTAAAATCTGCATTCTTCATAACAAATCATTGACCTCCTTACACAATCACCCAAAATGCTTTGTAGCACCACCCATTACAGCACCATTCTTCCTTGCAGCACCAAAGTACACGTGATCGGTACCCCGCTCACACTCTACTCTTTTGCTAGGTAGATGGGATACTTCCCCGGTAATCATGCCAGGACTATTCCAGCGTCTGGTATCATAGGGTTGCTTAAGTGGCGACCGCGAATCATTCCATATAAGACAATCATTGTCTTCTGTCCTAGATGCCTTAAGGGAGATTGCAGGGTGGTCAACCGCGTTCCCCACAGTAACACGTGGGTGCCTCAGAGGAGAATGATGATGGTTGGGCTGTGCATTTCTCTGGCTCCCTCGGGCCTACATACGCTCTCGGCGTACACCTGCGTGGGTGAGAAGAGACGCCCGACTAATCATAATGCCTTTTATATCACCACACACTATTACAACTACTTACTTGTATTCACTTTATGACATTCGGCAAGGTTTCAATATGTATACAGTATTACTCTCTCGCTTAACGCCAGTTTCACTTTAACGCTGCTTTATCATATACGCCGTGCTCGCCAGAGCTGAACTTTCACTTAACACGGATTTTTTCCCAAGCACGCCGTGAGTGTCCGCCGAGACGCTATTTTAGATTTGCCCCACCCGCCACCTCCTGCCTGACTGCCTGTTTTAGCTCATAAAATTCATAAGAAATTACCCGCCAGAATATAATTTCTACATTGCTGAATTTTTATAATTTGGTGATCATTTTGAATATAAACATCATATATTTTGCATTAGACATACAAATTTTAGATAAAAATTTTTCTCAGAGTAACTATGTTATCTTTTGTGCAAAATATATGACATTTATATTCAAAATATTCCTGGTCTTACAAGGAATCCAGCAATGTCAATTATATTATCCTAACTTTAGTTTGAGGTATTATTTATTAAAATTTAGTGGTTATCCCACACATCTCCTTGGGACGGTTGGTGGGGGTGGGGGGGAGGGAGGGACCGACCGACCATCTGTTACCCAGTGAAGAATTATTTTTTTTTTAACTGAAGATATTTGTTTTAGCTCATAAAATTCATACAAATTATCCGGTCTGAATATAATTTACATTGCTGGAATTCTTATAATTTGATGATCATTTTGAATATAAACATCATATTTTTGCATTAGACATACAAATTTTAGATAAAAAATTTTCTCAAATTAACTATGTTATCTTTTGTGCAAAATATATGACATTTATATTCAAAATATTCCTGGTCTTACAAGGAATCCAGCAATGTCAATTATATTATCCTAACTTTAATCTGAGGTATTATTTAATACAAAATGTTAAAATTTATTTTTTTCACCCACTCTTTCTCTTGGTGGGGGTGGGGGGGAGGGTTGGGACTGACCGCGTGGTTGGAAGAGGGGGGAGGCAAGGTGGGGTACTTTGATTGACAGATAGTGTCCTGAAGAATATTTTTTTTTATTAACTGAAGATATTTGTTTTAGCTCATAAAATTCATACAAATTGCCCGGCCAGAATATAATTTACATTGCTGGAATTCTTATAATTTGGTGATCATTTTGAATATAAACATCATATATTTTGCATTAAACATACAAATTTTAGATAAAAATTTTTCTCTAGGTAATTATGTTATCTTTTGTGCAAAATATATGACATTTATATTCAAAATACTCCTGGTCTTACAAGGAATCCAGCAATGTCAATTGTATTATCCTAACTTTAGTTTGAGGTATTATTTATTAAAATTTAGTGGTTTTCCCCCAAAAATTTCTCTGAGAGGGAAGAGCCGGCAGTGTAGTGTGAGAGGGGGAGGGAGTTGAGTCCATTATTTGAATGGACATTAACTTGGCGACTGTATTTCTCTATTTCTCTTAAGTATTAACTGTGTGCATGTACCATCATAAAATTAAGATGTTATTTTTACTACAACATAGGTATGTGCCTTCAAAAAGTGGAGTTTGGGGGTCGGGCCGGTTTCTATTGGAATTAATCCCATATGTTCTGTTGTTCACTTAACGCGGATTTCACTTAACGCGGGACCCTCTGGGTTCAATTGACCGCGTTAAGTGGGGTACAAACCCGTATAAACCAAGCGATAGGCCTCTATAAATACGGTGGGGTACTGACCTGCGTGGGTGAGAAGAGACGCCCGATTGATACTATGTCGTGGCGTCTCGCCCTGAATTAGGCCTACAGTTTCCAAACTTTAAATTTCACTTTGTCATTATTCTGGTTCTCACCGATACACTTTCTCATCTATTGTGATTTTATGCCTTATAATTACATACCTTAATTCTAAATTACATACTAAAGTAAGAGTCTGGTTTGCTAGTTTCTGGGAAATTAATTTGGCTATACATTAATCCGGAACCGTAGCCCGGGGCGTCTTGGGCGCCAACATAGAACAAAGGCCTAGGCTTGTGTGTTCTTGGTGTGGGTATATTCGCTTCACTTCAGTCTGTATTTAAGTATCCTCCCCTCACACGTTGCAATCATTGAACACATTCATAGGATTCTCTGATCATTGCACTGTTCGTGGTTGTTCGTCACCTGGGTTAACGAGGTGTATTAAGCTCACACTGAGGTATACAAGATATTCTCTTTGAAGCATAGTTTCTGGATCATTTCCAACACTTCACATAGGTCTGATAATTTACCCTTTTTCCAGATCATTGTTCTCATATATTTTCTTCTGTTACCTGAGGTAGCTATGTTTACTAATCATTCACAGGCGTAAATATCATGATCTTCAGACACGGTCTACACACGGTTACACTTATCCCTTATAGTACACTAGTCCGTATCAATTGGACCTTACCCAGTCATCCTCTAGAAATGTTGAGTTCTCCTTAATACTATCAGTGCTGTACATATTCTTAATATTAAATGCCCGTACATTGGTACACTTCGTATAAAACAACATACAGTAGGTGGATTTGAATGTTATGTAGCGTAATATGAATTAAAGAGATATTAAGGATGACAATGATGTGCGCAGTACACTATAACGGGTTATTCTAGTGTGACGACATCCACAGAGAAACGGTGTGCATCGCGGACAAGACGAGTGTTACAAGCCCACGGCCTTGCCAGTGGTACACAGGATGCCAAATCCACCAAACATTGCCCGTTAAAGTACCTGTAAAAGAGAGAGAGTGAATCAACATTGTGGCAAAGAGAAAGGGAAGAGAGATTGTCAACCAAAGGAGGAGAATTAATAAGACAAAATGCCTTTGATTCCACCCTATCTAACAGGTGGACAGAAGTACCACCCCAGATATAAGAACAGTACTCCAAGTTAGGACAAATGAATCCCTTATAAATTTGAAGCAGCTGCTCAGGAGTGAAGTAGCTACAGCATCTGCACCGCATTCTCAGCTTTCGGGAGGCAACTTTAACAATGTTGTGGATGTGTGGCTTCCATGACATATTAGAGGAAATGGTGATGCCTAGCATATCTATTTTAGAACTTGGCAGAATGATTACATCCTGAAATGTGATTGGTGGGAATCTTCTATTTTGGAAAATGTAATTGGTAAATACCTGTAATGTGTTTTATTACTATTGAATTTAAGCAAGTTTCTACCTCCCCATTCGGAGATGCTGCACAGATCCGCATTGATAGATGAAATGATATCAGCTTTAGAAACAGATCTGGGTTGAGAATTAGGGGGGAGGGGAAAATGTGAAGAAGGGTAAAGAGTAGAATCATCAGTGTAAGAATTAGTCGTAGTGTGAAGTAAATCATTGATAAAAAGAAGGAAGAGAATAGGTGAAAGAACAGAACCCTGCGGGACACCACTATTGGAAAAGAAATAGCGAGAGATCGATCCCTCGACAACAACTGCCATGGATCGGTTCTCAATGAAGCTAAAAATTAGAAAACAAAGAGGGGGAGAGAAACCATAAGAGGGAAGTATAAAAAGCATAGACTTGTCATACCCTGTCAAATGCTTTGGAGATGTCAAGGGCCATGAAGAAAGTTTCCCCATAATCTGTAAGAGAGGATGACCAAAGATGGGTGCAGTAGGAGAGCAGATTACCAGTAGATCTTGCCTGGCGAAAGCCATACTGGTGATCCGACAAAAAAGAAAGGCATCAAAGTTGATGGAGAAAATGAGAGTTTAAGATAGTTTCCAAAATCTTAGAGGAAGATGAAGTTTGGGATTAGAATGTTCACCCTTCTTTGGGATGGGCTGAACCAAGGCATGCTTCCAAGAAGAAGGATAAGTTTGGGTTTTAAGGCAAAGGCAAAAGAGGCGAGCAAGTACAGGGACCAGAATTTCACATTTCTTAGTGTTTAACCGGGGGAGGGAGCATTGTGGGTCAGCAGAGGCAGCTATGGCTTTGCTTGAGGATGGCCACACATGAAGCAGCCAGCGTCTATGCAAAGGGCGCTGCTGGCGACTGTGTTAAACTTTAATTTAGCTTTTCCTTAATTGTTTTAGCTGCATTTTTTTATCTAGATGGTATTTTATAAATGTTTTTAATGTGTTAGGTAGTAAATTATTATACAGCTGATGTGTACTACAGGGCGTCCTCGCTTAACATCGGGGTTACGTTCCTGAAAACGCGACGTTATGTGGAACAACTTTAAGCGGATCAATTTTCCCCATAAGAAATAGATAAAATATGGTAGTTACTTTCCCCAGCCTCCCTTTGCCACATGAAAAAAGTTATATATACAGAAAATCATTGCCATTTCTATAGAAAATAGTATATAGAACTACAGTACTAAGTTTGTATTGGTACTCACTGATGGGCGGAGGTGGTAGAGCGAGTGTGTGGTGGGTAGTGGAGCGAAGGAGGAGGAGGGCGGGAGCTGAGGAGGGTGGTGAGTCACTGAGACTCTGCCGCTGCCTCCTCCTCCTCCTCCTCTGACTGGGTTTCCTCCGCCGCTGCTTGCTCCTCCTCTGTTGTTGGTGGGAATGTCTCGGCAGCAACCGTATCTGAACTAGCAGCTTCACCAGTCATCTTTATGTTGTGGAAGTTATACCGACGCTTAAATTGTTGAAACCACTCTCGGCTGGCTGTGAAGGTCTCTTCCTTCGATCCTTCGCCCTCTTGTTTCCTTCATGTCATCAAACAAGGATCTGGCCATATGCTGGATAACCATAAGGCTCACTGGGCATTGCATTGATTCTGTTCCTCCATCCACATTGCCAGCATCTTTTCCACCTTCTCTATCACAGTGCTTCTAGTAAGAGTCGTCTTAGTAGCACTCAGAGAAGAACCACTTCCAGCACTTAACCTTAATCTTGTCAGCGTTGGTCCGAATAGTACGCACCATTGTGGGGGTTAGACCAAGCACAGCGGCTATGTCCACAGCACATCACCCTTTTTCAAATCGGGTTAATATATCCATTTTCATGGCAAGGGTAATGGTCTTACATTGCCTCTTCACTACACTAGCATCAATAGCACTTGATGGGCGCTTGGAAGCCATTTTGAATGGTTAGAGTACTGTTTTAGAGCAAAAGCTTCAAAGCATACACAAATGATGTGAAGTCGTAACAGAGACTGGCTTGGCATCGCTGTGACATTCTGCGAGTGAGGGCAGCGTGCCGAGCCGAGAGAGCGTAGCGTGGCCAGACAAGAGTGAGTGATGCTCCGTAGAAAGTAGTCTGTGACGACGCAAAATGACGTAGTATCAGATCACCGGGACGTTAAACAAATTTTTGGTCTCTAAAATTCAGCAACGTAGTACCGAAACAACGTTAAGCGGGACGACGTTAAGCGAGGGCTTACTGTTTGTATCATTAGTTAGGTAAGTGTTTTTTTTTTTGCTACCCGGTAATCGATTTCATGTTTTTTTGGGTATGTATTGGGGTATTTTTGCCATTGGGGAACTGTGTCTTATTTTTCCCATACATGTATGTTTTTTATTCAAGGTACAAAAATTAACATAATGAATGTTTGTTTTTTTACCTAACCCATTCATATCTGTAGGATTACTGTACAGTTTTTTTATTTATTTCTTAGAAAACTGCTCTCACAATAGTGATTGATACAAAATTATATGCATCACACACCTTAATAATATGAATATACATAGGCCTATGTAACACTGGTCTCCATTTAATCATATAATGTGACTTTAAGCTTTTAATTCTCCAACTTTTATCTTCTAACAGACCCTGAAGTTTACAAAAGAACTTGGCCGTTATACAGGATTGAGAGCAGCAGTCATTGTGGGAGGAGATAGCATTGAAGGACAGTTTGCAGCATTACATGATAATCCTGATATCATAATAGCAGCACCTGGAAGGTAATTTTTTTTTTAGTACAATCAGGAATTTGAACATGATGTTCAGCAACAATCCAAAACTAAAATAAAGTACAGTAATGTACAGTAAAAACTTCACTGCTTCCGGTTTTTTGTTGGTACCCTAGTAAAGTAAAGTTGAAATATGAGAACAGTACAGTATACAGGGGGTATATGGTTCTGATTATTGTAGATTGGACGAGTTATTCATCATAGTTTTTCGTAAGATGGCCAAAATTCACTATGGCAATGGTATGTTAAAATAAATTGGGCCAAAAAGTGTAAAAAATAAGGGTTACAGTTGGTAAAAAGTCACGTGACTGCGAAAAGCTCTGTGATTGGTTGTGACGTCACAGGTTGGCTTGAGCCGCCAAGCAGGAGCCTGGAGCAGCCAACTGTGGTGTATGTGTTATTATCAGCAAAATACAGGACTTGTGGCCATATACAATGATGATATACACAGGCATACCTTATTTTTAGGTTAAAATAAATTACTGCAAAAGACCGATAACTCCAACATGGTAGTTTTCATCACTCTTCTCTATTTCATGTCTGCAAAATTTAAGTTTTTGTCACTGATGTCTATATTTAATATTCCAAGGTGACAAAGAAATAAATAAAATATATTATAGAACTATAAAATAAGAAAAAAGAAAAGTAGTAAGTGAATTGTTTGTGGAAGGCAGGTCAGTTGGCTGGTGGACTGAGAGTCTGCCCCCCCACCCATTTCCAAGCCAAACTGACCCCTATAACCTCATTGAATGAACATTATGCAATTTCATCCCCATTCCCATATTGTATATGTTCATTTGGTACTGGGTTAAGAAAACATTACCGTATAGTAATCAGTTTTCACGCAACAAAAAATCCCACACTCAACCACACAAGTTATTGTGTGGTATATTAAATTCATGGTTATTTGTTTACATATAGTAATATAGTATACTCTCTATTTAACGGAATCCGATATAACAAACTCGATTTAACAGAAGGAATTTTTTCTGTTATTTTTCGCTTGATTTAGTGAACTGGTTTGCTAAATCGAAATTAATTCCGTTAATATTCTCACACCTATGGAGACACCTCAGACACATGATATGTACATGGAATCATTAGAAATATTATTCATGGCTTACCTTAAACTAAGGGGGATCAGTGTTTATTTTCAAATTTTTCTATTTCCAAACTTTTACCAATTCATAGCTGCACTCTTTTGACATTCTCCCCCACGCCACTTCCTTTCTGAGACTTATGAGAGACTTTCGGCATGATGTCTAAGCAAAGTAGTTGGTTGACTGAGAGGTTGCAGTGAACAACACATGCGGTGGAGGCAGGACACAGACTGAGCGGCTGTAAACTAACCCCACGCGCCAAGTTGCGCATTTGGCATGGCATTAAATGGAATCATGCTCGATTTAGTGAACTAGTTTGTTAAATCATGCAAAGATAACGGAAATTCAATTTAATGGAAAGGGGTGGCTCAAATTAGTCCGTTAAATCGAGAAAATTTCCCGTTACCTGGAAAATTCCGGTGATGAGGGATTTTTTCCCGGCTTTCAGACAAATGTTTCGTTATCTGGAAATCGCTCATTCCTGGAAGTGCTCTGCGCCAATTGTTCCGGCTAACGGAGATATCACTACTATAGTCACAATCATCCCACCACCCTCAGGTCTCTATGTTGGTGTATTGGTGTAACCCACAAAATTATGAGAAGGAAAGGAGCTGTTTGTGTAATATAGAGCTACATTTTGTACAATATGTATGTGTTAATGTATACAGTATTTTCTCGATTTAACGAACTAATTTGAGCCACACCTTTTCATTAAATCAAAATTTTTGCAAAATTAAGCTTTCCGCCGCTCAGTCTATGTCCTGCCGCCACCATGTGTGTTGTTCACTGCTACCTCTCGGTCAGCTAAGAATACTGGAGCACCATAGCTTTCGTCTTTATTCAAGTCATCTTCAAAAGGCTACTGAAGTTTTAGGGATGGAAGGTAAGGTCACTCCTACTTGGGTGGGGGATTAGTAGGTCTCATGATTTGAAGATGTCTTGAATAAAGACAAAAGCTAAAGTATTTTTTTTGGGGGGGGACCTGACCTGATGCAATATCAGGTGGAGGTAGGGTGGGGGATTAGTGGTCTCATATTACTGACCTAATGAAATGTCAGGTCATCCTTTCTTGGGTGGGGAATTAGTAGGTCTTGACCTGAAGATGTCTTGAATAAAGACAAAGCTATTATTTTTAGGGAGATTGTGATAAGTATAAGTATAAAAGAGCAAAGTTGTATACCTTCAACATTACATTACATTTTAAAACATGATGGGAGGCGAACCTTCTTGTGGGGGGGTGTCGCGCGGTCAGTCCCCCCCCCTTCCTCACTCAAGCGTGGCTAATTGTGATAGGGAGATGAATTTCATACCATAGTGATCCTTAATAAATTCTCTACGAGACGTTTACAATGTGATATCCTTAAATAACCGAATAATAAGGCAAATATGAGTGTTTTCTTGTATATGAAGGGTAATGGTATTAATCAGCTCAAATTATTACAGTAACATATCTTTACTAATTAATAAATAACAAATAAACAATGTTTTGCCAAGTAAGGACAGAGGCAGACGAACCTTTTTGGGGGTGCATGATCAGTTTCTATCCCCAAGGGTCTCGACAACACCAGTCTCTATGTATAGAACTAAACAAAGAATTTATTTGAAGTACCAGTACTCTGTAACATTCGATACTATAATATGCTGAACACTGGGGCTAGTTATACAGATTTTTCCCTGTGAAAAAGCCATAATTTTGCACAACATATTACTGGACAGTAATCACTTTGTACTGAAATGTAGTGAGCTAAAAGACTAAAAAAAATTCTCGTGTGAACTACGAGATATTTATACTCAAATTAATCACTATTTTGCAAGGATTCCAGCACTGCAAGTTATATTCTAAGGCAAGTCTGTGACATTTTATAAGAGAAAAACTTTAAGCCTAAAACCACCTTTATCTATAAAATCTTTATCACCCACCACCATCTCGCCTCCCATGCTGGCTGGGAGGAGGGGGAGGTGGGGTGTTGACAGCCAGGACGAAAGATTAATGCCTAGTTATCAGGGACTCGGGATTATAAAAGGCAGGGAGTTTGAGTTTTTCACTTATAAAATGTCACTGACTTGGCTTAGCAGAATATAACTTGCGTTGCTGGAATTCTTGGAAGATGGCAATTAATTTGAGTATAAACACCCCATACTTTGCACTGGACATACAAATTTTAGTAATTCACTTCGTACATTTGTGATAATTTATGCGGTTATTCAGCAATTGTGGTTGCAGTTGCGAAGCTTTGTGACATCACTGGTGTGTAATGCGTCTCCATATTCCCTGGCCTATTTACTGATCAGTTGTCCAAGTGCAAAAGTAGTCAATTCGAGTCATCATGTATCAATTAATTTTAAAATTTATATTATAAAGTAAAATATTATCAGACAGTGGTTTAGTAGTGCTGTTAATGTGTGTGCTGTGTGTCTTGGCATGTCACCTCACCACCTCGTTAGTGCAGCTCAGAGTTACATTGATTTATTACTGTATTATTTTATTTTTTTAGTATTGTATGTACATGTACAGAAATATTTCTTTGCACAGTAATTATAAATAAACCCAGAGCAGAAAATCCAGCATTACCTAAGTGGTTGGTCTTCCCACCCACGCACCAATCATGTTAGGATGCAGCTAAACTTGGTGCAATCTTTCATAATGCAGGGAACCTCTGTCCCCAGGCCCGGGGCAAAAGGGTTTGGAGTGATTTTCTCGCCATATTCTCCGATTTTCCGGTAATTGCTTTACATCATTATTTATCATTTTTATATATTTAGTACATTCGCCAAAGGCTGAAGTAGGTTCTACTGTATCATGTGTCTGCGTAGGTGTGAGCGTATTTACGGAATTTATCTCAATTTAACGAACTAGTTCACTGAATTGAGCGAAAAATACAAAAAAATGCTTGCCGCTAAATCGAGAGTTCGTTATACTGTGGTCCCTCGGTTAGCGAACGCCTCGGTTAATGAAATTTCGGTTAATGAATTACCTTCCATAAGAATCTTCAATTCGGTTAACGAAAAAAATTTTGATCACGGAAATCCTTACGAAAATCACGTTTTGTTTTGAACATCAGCTGATAAGCTGAGGAGGTACTCAGCCAATTCAGTAATCTCTTCTATGTTTACATTCGTTTCCATTGGAGTAAATATCAAGAAAATTTTGCTCTTTAATATTTGTGTATTTTTTTATACAGTACAGTATTCAAATTATTGGTCATTCTAAAATTTTGCCATCCAAGCTCTGTCTACATAAAGTTTTTCAACTATTTTTGGCTCATATATGAACTTTATTCATGTTTACATTCAAATTAATCACTATCTTATAAGAATTCCAGCAATGCAAATTAAATTAACAATTAAATACTTCACACCACAAGCGCCAACTGTCAATCATGTCACTGTCACCCCTCCCTCCCTACCCCTCACCTTCCCAAGAAACGTTTGGGGAAAAGCACTAGGCTTACAGGTTTAATCATATATAATATCTCAGACTAAACTTAGGAGAATATAATTTGTATTGCTGGAATCGTTGCAAGACAGCGAATAATGAATATAAACGTCATATATTTTGCACAAGAGATAAAATTAATCACCTGTATCACATTACAGTAGTGATTTAAGAGTTCTAGTGTATATGTACGATATATATAGTGATTTAAGGGCGATTTAGGGGAATTTTAGGAGTGTTTCTGACTTTATGCATTTTCTGGCTTTACTTTGTACAGTGGTCCCTCGGTTAACGAACACAATTCGTTCCAGAAGGTCGTTCGTTAACCGAAACCATTGTTTCAATGGGATTTTGGGTAATTGGTTCCAGCTCACCGAAAATTACATACAAAGTAAAAAAAATGCAGTAAAGTACACTTGCTTTGAGGTGTGTATGTAGAAGGCTCCTGGTTGATGATGGGAATTAGAAGTGGGGGTGGAGGAGAAGGGAGAAGAGAAGGAAGTGGGGGTGGAAGAGATATCACCCCATGCTTGATGCCGTCATTTCACCCATAAAATTTTAAGTTCACTAGGTGTAATTCAACACTGCACTGCACTATATATTGTCAATATGTTAAATAAATTTCAGAATGACCAATAATTGTACCGTAAAAATGTAAAAATAGTTTATGTTCAAGAGAGCCGCAAGCAAGATGTTACCTCCACTGTCCAGAGATACAAACTGATGCCTTGGTGGATGAGTCAAGTGGCTGATTGGTGCACCAAAAACTAGTTCCCTGTACTGCAATTATGTTAAATAAGTGTTAAAATGACTAAAAAATTTAATATAAAACTTGGAAAATTATTGAATAGTACAACCTTCTTGATATTTACTCCAATTTTAACGAATGTAAGCCCTAGAACTGATTTCTGTATTGGCGGACTAATCTTCCAGCTGGTGAGCAAGCCAAAGCATGTCGAAACATTTTCGTAAGAATTTTGTTAACCAAATTTTTTTTAGTTAACCGAATTGAATATTCTTATGGAAGGTAATTCGTTTACCGAAATTTCGTTACCCGAGGCATTCGTTAACCGAGGGACCACTGTATATACTTTTCTGTGAGCTGGAACCAATTACCCAATATCCCATTGAAACAATGGTTTCGGTTAACGAAATTTTCGGTTAACGAAAGACCCTCTGGAACGAATTGAGTTCATCAACCGAGGGACCACTGTATCAGATTCTGTTAAATCGAGAGTATACTGTAATTTATGGTTTTGGTGTTTATTAAAACAGTTTTGGAACAGTTTAAGGATACTTCTTTGCCTCTGGAACTAAAATTACTGTATTTCCATTTAAATCAATTAAACTTTAAGGATTTGATAATTCACCGTGTCTTCTGGTATTTAACCCATGTGTATGTGTTTTACTTTTTCAAGTACAGTGAACCCTCACTTTACGCGGTTAATTCAACCCACGGCGGCCCGCGTAAAGTGAACAACATAACATATGGGATTAATTGAAATAGAGACCGGGCCGACCCCCAAACTCCACTTTTTCAGACACAATACCTATGTTGTAGTAAAAATAACTTCGTAATTTTATGATGGTATGCACACACAATTAACATTTAAGAGAAATATCAATAATATTAGGTTTTTTAACACTTACGTTAGTAGAAAAGATGGCTGGGCACACGGGGATGGGGGGTTGGTTCCGAGGCAGAGGGCAGATTATTGGCCCTCACCTGTATCATTTGTATCAATTGTATCACTGTCCACCACAGAGGCTTGCAGGGCCTCTTTGTCAAACCCCTCAAAGTCCATATAAGTCCATATCCTCACTATCATTATCACTATCACTGACTTGGGCCGGCTGTGGTGGGTGGCGGGTGAAGAACTCGGTAATGTTTTGATGACTGGGCGACCTTGTGCGCACCCTGCTCGCACCGCTTACACAACATGGCGGATGGCGGGAGGTTTGGATCCAAAAATGGCGCGGCTCGCCAGCCGCTCTCCGCGTAAAGGGGTACATGCACCGCGGAATGTGAGCATTCCGGTTTCGGCAGGGTACCGCGTAAACGTGGAAACGCGGAATGTGGGACTGCGTAAAGCGAGGGTTGACTGTACAGTAATAAAGTGAAGTTGAAAGTAATATTTTCTAATTTTATTATTTCCTATTTCAGACTGGTGCACATCTGTGTAGAAATGAACCTTAAACTTCAGAATGTTGAGTATGTAGTCTTTGATGAGGCTGATCGGCTGTACGAAATGGGATTTGCAGAACAACTTACCGAGATAATCAGGCGACTCCCAGAAGTTCGACAGACACTCCTATTTTCAGCAACACTTCCAAAAATGTTAATTGAGTTTGCTAGAGCAGGTTTGACAGATCCTGTTTTAATTCGGTAAGTACAGTAACCCTAGAACTAATGAATTATTATTATCTTTTTTTTTTAATTACAAAGTTTTCAATTTCAATTAGACACCAACCAAATTTACTGACACAGCTGATCTCTATGACAGTTTAGATTTTATCTGGAACAAAATCTTAATGCAGCTGATAATAAGGAAAATTTTTCATAATAAAGCTACCTCTGCAAGATACATGTGCACTTATATATTAAGTATGAAGCACTGAATACAGGAAGACAACAGCCCTTGAAAGGTACAATTGCAGGGAATATTTTAAGAAAGTACATTAACCCCTTCACTATGGGACACCATCTTTATACAGTAAAACCTCGCTATGCTGGACTACTTGGTGGGGGGGGGGGTGTCTGGGATAAGAGCTTGTCCGCCGTAGAGCAAATTTAAAAAAAAGAGACCTCTATTTTAAACAAAGAACAAGTACAACACCAATGTTTCCAATTTTTATGAAAGAAAAACTGTTTTTTAATAAAAAGAAATTTACACAACGCACTGTACACTTACCCCCAAAAAATGGAAGGCAGATCCAGCTGGACATGCCTCTGACTGCAAGAGCCTTGCAGTCACTCTGAGTCTGAGTCAGAAATGAGAATATGAAGAGGAACCTCCTCTGACAAGGAGGTGGATGGTGAGGTCAAAGAGGCACTGCTGGAGGGTCTTGGCTTGAAAAAAGGTCTCAATCTTTGTTTGAGTGACTTTGCTTCTTTGGTCCTGTATGACAAGTTTCCTCACGTGCCTAAAGTGATCGTAAGAGGCCCCATTTTTTTTTCTGGTGAGTAAATTCTATAAGGGTGTCCAGGCAGTCCCTAGCTCCTGGCAGCTTTATTTTTGGTGGTTCATCTTCCTTCTCTTCATCATCATCATCATCAAAGTTGTCTGCAGCTTCATGTACAGAGTCCACAATCTCCTCTGTCAAGTTGTGGTATCGAAGATCATCCTCATCAGCCTCCAGCCAAGTCTCCACCTCCTCAACTGTAGCATCCTTCTCTCTTGCTTGGAGAAGGGTTCTGTATCAGTCTTCTGATGTAAAAACCTCAAAATCATGCTCCTCATCAATGTCATAAAGGAGCTTCTTCCAGGCATTGATTAAGGTTCTTGCCTTGACTTCTTTGGCAGAAGTGGCAAAATTAAAGAGTATGGACCTGAAGTTGTATTTTTTCAAGTTTCTGAGGGTCCTCTGCCCTCTTGTGTCCTCCATCTGATCCTCGCTCGTCTCTTCCACCACCATCACTTCATCCAAAAATTTGCAGTTGTACAGCCTTTTTGCTGTACAAATAACACCTTGATCCATTGGCTGTATGACAGAGGTGTGTGTTGGGTGGCAATGCCTGGCACCTGATCCCTCCATCCTTGCTGCACAGTTTTTCAATGTTGAGATGTGAGGGAGCATTATCTAAGAGGATGATATCCTTCACTTCATCTGCAGGGATTTTCAGATCTTCCACTTGCTTATGCCTGATCTCCACAACAGCATTGTTTGAAAAACCAGTCTGAGGCTATGGCTTCTGTAATCCATGTATTCTTGGAGTTATAGTAGTGGACAGGAAGCCTGTGCAGTGTGCATAATGTCCTTGATTGCACGAGGTTTCTTGCTCTTTCTTACAACAACAGGTGAAAGTATATGGCTCCCATCAGCATTTGCACACAGCAATGCAGACACTCGTTTCTTGGAAAGTTTCCTACCAGGCACACTTTTTTCACTTCTGGAAGCTTGTGTATTTTCTGGTAAAGCTCTCCAATAGAGTCCAGTTTCATCTGCATTGTACAGTTGGCATTATCGAAGGTTTTTGGTTTCCATTAAGTCCAACTTTTTTCTAAATGGCTCCTCAGCATCAATATCAGCGCTGAGCATCTCACATATTTTCTTATTCACAATACAGTAAGTCCTCGCTTAATGTCGGGGTTACGTTCCTGAGAATGCGACGTCATACAAAACAACCTTAAGCGAATCTATTTTCCCCATAAGAAATAGATAAAATACGGGAGTTATGTTCCCTGGCATCCCTTTGCCCCATGAAATACATTACATATACAGAAAATCATTGCCATTTCTATAGAAAATTGTGCATTCATATACAACTACTAAGTTTGTATTGGTACTCACCGATGGGCAGAGGTGATAGAGCAAGTGTGTGGTGGGTAGTAGAGCGGAGGAGGCGGATGGCGGGAGGGGAGGAGTATGGCGGGAGCGGAGGAGGGTGGTGAGTCACCGAGACTCTGCAGCTGCCTCCTTCTCCACCGCTGTTTGCTCCTCCTCCGTTGTTGTTTGCCCCTCCTCGGCTGCTATGTGCTTTTCCACAGCTGCTATATGCTTTTCCACGGCTGCTGGCTGTTGTGAAGAAGCTGCTTCTGCCATCCTGCGACGAAAAAATAAATCCAGTGTTGACTGCTTGGTGCTACTCTTCTTCTTAAAGATCTCAGTGTAACAACCAAGACTGTCACCAATGCTGCGTTGAATCTTTGAGCTACATTCTGTCTGAGCCGTCATCTATAAGGATTTGCATTGCTTTCTGGAACATGTTGAATGCTTCTGCCATCCTCTTGGAAGTTAGTGTTTGTTGAGGTTTTCTTCATCATTGTCGTCTTCAATGGGACTGTGTTCTGTTAGTTGTTGCAGATCTTCGTTGGTGAGCTCTTCTGTATGGGATGCCAGGACGTCCTCAATATCCTCTGATTCCAGCTCATCAAAGCCTGCCTGTCTAGCCAAGCTGAGGATATCCCTATTCACAGCCGGGACTAAGTCCGTGAATCCCGGAAAACTGTTGACGCTCTCAGGCCACAATTTACGCCACACACCATTCAGGCAACTTTTTGAAACCTCTTCCCATGCTTTGCCAATGTTGTCAATTGCACGCCAATATTCTCAGATTGTAGGTTTATTTTCTTCATCTGTAGCCTTGAGCAACAGGGTCATGGTACAGCTTAAATAATACACCTTGAATGTGGCGATGACACCTTGGTCCATAGGCTGCATCAGTGCTGTCATGTTGGGAGGTAGGAATACAACTTTTACACTGTCATGCAAGTCGTCGAGATTGGGAGGATGAGCTGGAGCATTGTCAACGATCAGAAGAATTTTGAAGTCAAGGTTCTCCTTGCCACAGTATTCCTTCATTGCAGGGACGGCGTACATGTTCACCCACTGGCTAAATATGGTGCCGGTTATCCATGCCTTCTTATTTGCCTTGTAGATCACAGAAAAGTGATCCTTGGAATAACCTTTCAGGACCCGTGGGTTGGCAGCACAAGAAATCAGCATAAGCTTCAGCTTGAAGTCACCGGCAGCGTTCGCGCCAAGCAGCAGCGTCAAGCGGTCTTTTACCGCTTTAAAACCTGCCACTCTTTTCTCCTCCTTTGAGATATAGATCCTCTCAGGCATCCTCTTCCAAAGGAGACCAGTCTCATCCACATTGAAGACTTGCTTCGATGAGTAGCCTCCTTCCTGGATAATCTGCTTGAATTCAGGCGGGAATATCTCGGCAACAACCGTAACTGAACTAGCAGCTTCATCGGTCATCTTTATGCTGTGGAAGTTTCACGACTCTTAAATCATTGAAACCAGCCTATGCTGGCTGTAAAGCTATCTTCCTTTGTTCCTTCACCCTTGGCTTCCTTTATGTTGTCAAACAAGGATCTGGTCTTATGAATAACCATAAGGCTGACAGGTGCATTGTGTTGATTCTGGTCCTCCATCCACATAGCCATCTTTTCCACTTTTTATATCATAGTACTTCTAGTATGAGTTGTTTTAGTTGCACTGAGAGTAGTACCATTTCCAGCGCTAACCTTAATCTTGTTAGTGTTGGTCCAGATAGTACGCACCGTTGTGGGGGTTAGACCAAGCACAGTGGCTATATCCACAGCACTTTCCACTTTTCAAATCGGGTTAATACATCCATTTTCGTAGCAAGGGTAACGGTCTTACGTTGCCTCTTCACTACACTAGCATCAGTAGCCCTTGATGGGTGCTTGGAAGCCATTTTGAATGGTTAGAGTACAGTTTTAGAGCAAAAGCACTTAAGCACGCATGAATGATGTGAAGTCTTAACAGAGACTGGCTTGGAGACGCTGTGACGTTACACGAATGATGGTAGTGCGTTGAGCCAAGAGAGTGTAGTGTGGCCAGACGAGAGAGGGTGATGCGCCGTAGAAAGTAGTCCATGACGAAGCTAAGCGACGTTTTACCAAATCACCAGGAATTAAACGAATTTTTGGTCTCTAAAGTTTAGCGACGTAGTACCAAAACAACGTTAAGCGAGGACTTACTGTATTGTAGCGCCTTCGAAATCTAAACAACCAACCAGTACCAGCATGAAAATCCTTTACATTCATATGTTCTGCTAACCTTTCAGCAGGGGCCTGGATTTCCACACCTCTGGCTGCTATTCCACATGCACGTTGTTGTACATACTATTTATACACTGCCTCTTCCAAGCCCTCTTTCCCAACCTTCCTCATTCTCTTAATGCCAGATTTTACCTGGTCCACATTAAATTTCATGGTATATTTGTTTAACTTCAATCTTTCAATTTTCATATATCCGACGCTGACTACAGAACTTAAAAATTACGTATTCAGCGCATATTTGTGAGGGAATACAGTAGAACGTCAATTTAAAGCTATTCAATATAAGATTATTGATTTAAAGCGACACCCACAGTTTAGGACAATGTTTTAATTTAAAGCGAATCTTTCCTATTTTGCGTAAGTCAGTCTGGCCCATCATATTTTAAATTTTGCGCCTAATGTTTCCCACACACTGTCCCAAGGGCAAAGCTGTACTGTACATGTATACTCAAAATAATGTACTAAATGATTACTAAAAAAAATTTCTAGTGCAAACTACCTGTATAGCATGTTTATATTCAAACTAATCACTATCTTACAAGAATCCCAGCAATGCAAATTATATTCTCCCTGGTCAGTTAAGTGATATCTTATAAACAAAAAACAAAAACTCACTCTAAAGGACATAAGTAAACAAATAAATGCTTAACTAGACCTTTGGCGCTAACTGTCAAACATGTCACTGTCACCTCCCCCCCCCCCCAACCCTATTCCCAGCCAGGTTTGGGTCGTTATAGGCTTACAGTTTTTATCTTATATAATATCACAGACAAAAGTTAGGAGAATATAATTTGCATTGCTGGAATCCTTACAAGACAGCGAATAATTTGAATATAAACGTCTTATATTTTGCACGAGAGATAAAAATTTTAGCCCTTTGTAATATAATTACTAATTAGAACTAAAATTTGTATGTCTAATGCAAACTATGGCATACTTATATTCAAATTAATCACTATGTTATAAGAATCCCAGCAATGTTAATTATATTCTCCCAGATCAGTTCAGTGACATTTTATATGAGAAAAACTTAGGCACTCTTAAGGACAGATGAATAAAAAAACACTAGACCTTGGCATCAACTGTCAAACATATTGTGGGGTTCAATATGTTTGGTTCACACTCAGGATGGAATGGAGAAAGGAAACTCACAATGTGCTCTCTATATACATGTTGTATTGGATGTACAATGCAGCTTGGTGCTGGGAAGGCAGCATGGTTACAAGCGTGATGTAGAGAGAGCTGGTTGGTGAGGACGCTCAGAGAAGGACAGCTTGTGGGTCGCCATGCTCGCCAGGCAGGCGGAGGAGGAGCGAGGGCCGCCAGGCAGCGGCGGAGGAGGTGTTGCTGGCTGGTTGGTGTGGGTAGAAAAGAGAGGTCACCACGAGGTCAGGTCTTAAATAGCGGGGGTTGGCGTGGCTTAGTAGTTGAACCCCGCTCCGTGGTGTATGGCGGCGCTGGTTGACCTAGACCATGAGGCATACACTGGGGAATTGGTGGGGTCGGCTAGGCAGCGACAAACAGCGTTTGTAGGGGAGAAATCCACTACAATATCACCTCAACTCCCTCCCTCTCCCCCATCTTCCCAGCCAGTAAACAGACCATTTCGCATCCCTTAATTTTAGCTGTGTTGATTTATGAGTTTTTGTTTATTCTAGGAGATGGGCTGAGGACAAACTAACTATATATATATATACTGTATATATATATATATATATATATATATATATATATATATATATATATATATATATATATATATATATATATATATATATATATATATATATATATATATATAATAAACCTTTTTAAAGTACTGTATAGACTTAAAATTCAGAAAAGGACAGTTTATGGTTGTCCTTTTTTATTTTGAAAATAAAGGACAAACTAGTCTCAAAAAGGACAAACTTGGCAAACCTGCGCAGCGGTGCCGCACGACCCTCTCACATTAGCTGATCGCTAGTAAACAGACCATTTCACGTCCCTTAATTTTAGCTCTGTTTAATTTATGAGGGTTTGTTTTATCATAATACTACACAAAACAATGTTTTGTTTATTTTAGGAGATGGGCTGATGTGCATCTGGGTAGACTGTCAGTCTTTTTAGTATTTTGTGTTTCTCTCAAGTACCAATCTAAATTATTCCACTGAAACAACACTTCCATTTCGTGCGAATTCGGTTTAAAGCGACCTCTCTTGGAATGTATCTCATATTATATCGACTTTCTACTGTAGCACCTTTTTCTAGCTTTTCACTCACTGATAAGTTTTTAGGCTTAACCTTCTCGCCACCCTTACGGACACCAAACACTTTCTTAGGAGCCATGGCTATTGTCTGATTTTTCAATAATAATGCAAAAATATGTATGCTATGTCAGCCTACAACATAATCACATTATTTGCATTGTCAAATAAGTTTCAAAATAAAGTTCAGCACGTTTAAATGGCGATAAGACACAATCGGGGAAGCGAGAGAGCAGAAGTGATGCTATCACAATCAATGCTAATTTATAACTGAGTGCATGATGCATGTCCTTTTGTTTACCAGCGTGGGTGGATTATGAGGTTTGTGCACCTTGCTCCCTTGAAGTTTTGGCTTACGGCGGACATGTCATCTTACGACAAATTATGCCCTACTTTTTTATTTTATTTTTTATTATTTTTGAATTCTTTTTTGGCAAATAATTTTGTCCGGCTTAAGCGGGGTCCACCTTAGCGAGGTTTTACTGTAATATTATTTGCCTAATGCCAGACGATTTTATTTGGCATTGTGAGACCCCCATACCCAAGTGTTTAATAGACTAACTCTGTTAACCCCTTCATTATAGGAAGGTACTTTTAACACTTTTGGAGTTTTCAAATGAAAATTTGTGTATGATCTAAATTATCATTTTAGGAGGAAGCCGGTCTTCTACACAAGCTCTTGAGCTTTTACAGTAATATCTCTGTTAGCCGGAATCACTCAAACACTGAGCTCTCCGATTGCCAGAATTAAAATTTTCTTGGAGAATCGTTCCCAAAGCCGGAATTTTCAAGAAAATTCCGGGGTTGAAAATCAAGAGCATTTTCTGAAAATTTCTTGAATAAAGATGAAAGCTAAAGTATTTTGGAAGGAGACCTGATCTGGCCTTAATTAATGTCAGGTGGGGGACTAGCGGTCTCATATTACTGCCCTTCTGACGGAATGTCAGGTCACCCTTCCTTGGGTGGAGTTATAATTTATATCCGCAAACATTAAGGTCGTTAAACCAAATTCTTGTTAATTGGTATGTGGGACCTTACTGTATATTGAATCAGTACAGTTGAAAAGATAATTTAAGTTCATGGAGTAGACCAGCAAGTAGTGCTACAGGGTGGTTAGTTGACCAAAGTTAAATCATATTTAGGAGAAAGGGTATTTATTTTCCTTATTTTAGTAAAGTGAGTGTAACCCTCTATGTTATTTGAAGATTTCACCTGGTTTCTTGTTTTGCTTCTAAGAGTGTTTTCATAAACTTTTAGTCATCAGCATACTGATAAAATATTTTTTTATTTTACAGATTGGATGTAGAACATGTTCTTTCAGAAAATTTAAAGATGGCTTTCTTCAAATGTAACTCAGATGACAAGTTGGCATTACTATTTCATATCCTGCAGCATACCATTAGTGATCGACAGCAGTCTGTGATATTTGCTGCCACAAAGCATCATGTTGAATATTTACACATGGTGAGTCTGTTGTAACTTATGATTAAGGAATTACAGTATTTATTTATTATATAGGATAATAATCATTGGTTCTAATCATGTATTAAAACATTTACAAATCTGGTAGTTTAATTATTTGTTTAGTTTCCAGTTAATATGTTTAAATGAAATATATTCTTGTTTCTATTTTTTTGATGATAATGGTTAAAACAAGTGGCTAGTTAGAATAGGCTCTAGATCAGGGGTTCTCAAACATTTTCCAACACAACCTCCAAGTCATTATATAATATATA